AGTGTGGTACTGGTGGTTATTTACCTGGTGATTTGTAAGAGGGCGGGAGAGATTGGGATTGGATTGAAGAGGAAAGAGAGGGGATCGGACGCTGGATAACGGATATGGGGGAAGAATTTGAAATGTTTCACCTCACTTAGAAGTGGACAAAGATAAAAATAAAACTAACATAATAGCAACAAAATAACAATTTAATAAACATCATGAAGTGAATCTCCCTTTCCAAGTACAACTAAAATAGCTCTTGTTGAAATTAGAAGCATGATTCTCTAACATAAAATTAGGCTCCATAAGCTGCCGAATACTTTCTACTTAAAAAAAAAAAAAAAAAGTTAGACTCCATAAGCTGCTTGAATTTGGATAATTATACTCAGTAACAGTGATGGATAGGAAAAATGATTTTCAACTGAAGGAATTGGAGAAAGAACATATATTACAGGAATAATTCCCCCCAATCATATTCGTTCCTCTTTTAGTTAATGACAAAAGATAACCTAGTATCAAATTAAGACAAAATTATTCAATGTAAAAACGGCACTAGGAGAAGAAGTTTACATAAAAGGACCAACAGGGAAGCCGAAACTGCTGATCACCCGGTCAATTCTGAACACATCAACACCTAGGTTGATCAAAAGGTGTGCACTTTGGGAGTAAGGGAAGAATGTCCGATTGACTGCAAAGCCAGTGCAATTACCAACCACAACAGGAACCTTCTTTATGGTTTTTCCAACTGTCATTAGATCTAGAATTACTTGAGCAGAAGTTTTGTCTGTACGCACAATCTCCAGAAGAGGCATCACATGAGCTGGACTGTTCATAAAATAGTGCAATCAAACAAAATATGCAAAACAACATATACTCCACTGTAATGTAAATTTATAAGTCAAGCAACTCTCATCTTAAAAGATTACATTTTACATATATGATTTGATTATAAAGTTTTTACCACAGGAAAGTATGACCCTTCGAGTAAACCACCAGGATAAAACCCCCAGCTAGCTAAAGCATAACACAAATCATAACCTTGTGTCTCCTATATGGGAGATGGTAAAGCATGACATGTTTAACACCTACTAGCAAAGATCTATAAACAGTAACCTTCTTTCAAAAGAATCTAGAAATGGAAGCTACTATCAAAAGATCCAAAAAAGGTCTTATCCATTACCAGTATTCTCTGATACAGAATGACCGATAAAACCTTAAAAGATGTGAAGACTATTCACACAGCATATTAGTTACACGGAGAACATAGTAGGACATGCATGATCAAGGAAAATCAATGAAGCAAGCGATTACTTCAAACTGCATAAATAGAAGCAGGTGATCATATTAACAGTTGTTGCCTTAACAGTGTCTAGGTCCAAAAAATTCCTATTAACAGCGATTTTTGCGCACTTACATATTCAAACAAGTAATAAGTAGATGTAAACAAGGTAAATGAAAAGGCTCCATAATACCTTTATTCAATTAGTTATGTAAAAGATCTGATATAATAGTTAAGAGCAATAACACTGCAGCAAGGAGAAGACTAATTAGTTAAAAAACCTGAAAAAATGGGCCCCAATTATGCGATCTTTTGCATTGGTCTTTTCCCCGACTAGATTGAGGTCAATGGTAGATGTGTTCGTCGCCAAAAGGCAGTGGGGAGGGCAGATCTTTTCAATCTCACTAAATATTTTTTGTTTCAACGGAACATTTTCAATGACAGCCTGCAAAAAGGGAATAACCAAGCAAAATCCTTTAAAAGGAGTGGAGCATCAAATGTGTATTACACCAGGTTTTCCCTTTCAGAATCTTTCAATACCATAGTTTATTCATTAGAAGATAAAATCGCAACAATCACATTTGTGGAAATTTTATAAAGCTTAAATTCTGTGATGGTGAGGTTAAGACTCCCCACCTCTATGACCATGTCCACATCGTTAAATTCTGAATAGTCAGTTACTCCTTTTAGCATTGAGAGAGCTTTCTCTGCCTTATCCCGTGTCAATTTTCCTCTAGACACTAAGCCTTGAACATTTGCTGTCAAAACAGGTACATTCATAAGTTTTTCTCATATTATACGGAGGGGGGTTGGGAAGTTAACATTTTTTTTTTGAGATAAAAGTAGGAGAAAATATATTAAAGGTAGAGTGCCAGAGGGGCGCAACCCATGTACAAAGATAGAGAAGAATTTACAGATCCGTAATAATATCAACAATAGATCTCAAATCCTCTAAACTATCTAAATTGTGGCCAAGAATAGTAAAACCAAAAAAAATGTAGCCATCTATCCTTAATAGTATTAAAATCAGTATATCTACTTCAATACTTTTTGTTCCTTTCATTCCGAATCACCCAAATAAATAGATGGAGGGATAAATTTGTGA